TTTATTTATTTGTGTGCCTGTACATGCGACAGTCAAAGGACGAAGGTAAAGGAATTGTCTTTCTACAATGTGAGTCTGGGGACTTGAACTCAGGCTATTGGGCTTGGCGGCAGACATCTATAGCCACTGAGCCATCTTGCCAGCCCAATGCTAGGATTTCAAATTGGCCATCTCATACCCTTACACTGTTCCTCTGGCATCATGCATAGTGGCACATGCCTGCATTCCACCACCAAAGAACCTGAAGCTAGAGTCTCGTGAGCTCAAGGCCAACCTGGGCTACCTAGTGAGATCTTGTCTCAAAAAAAAAAAAAAAGTCAAGGGTGAAGAGCGTTCTTCCATCTGCTGCTTCTGCTTTTGAAGTGTCCTTAATTGTTCTTGCAGCCCCACCTAACAACACTGCAAAGGCCCTGGAGCCCTCTCCCACCTTGACGCTGCAGGATGTGGCTAAGTGCATCTCTGCTGACGGTCACCCTCCTGCACGAATCTTTTGGTCCTCGAATGTGAATGGAAGCCACCGTGAAATGAAGGAACCAGGGTCCAAGCCGGGCACCGTCACAGTTACCAGCTACTACTCCATGGTGCCTTCTCGCCAGGCAGATGGCAAGAACATCACCTGCAGGGTGGAGCATGAAAGCTCCCAGGAGCCGGACCAGGTGTCTGTGATCCTGTCCCTACGCTGTGAGTCTGTTTGCGCATGCGTAGAGTCCTCCCCCCCCCCCCCCCCCCCAGGCATCACTCACTCCTTAGACCGGCTGTGGGGAGCTGTCACTGTCTGTGCTATTACATACACCTCCTTATTCTACCCCGGTTCCCTAAGGCACCCACTGTTTCCCCAACATGGTAACCCGCTCCCATATTGTTTATGCCGATCTGCCCATCTACGTCCCTCTGTCCCAACCATGGCAGGCTATGTGGTCCCCGCCCCACGGTTTGACGCTGAATCCTGGGTCCTCCATAGTCCAAACTGCCGGCGCTGTCTACACTGGCTCATCTCTGGGCTGCCTGTCTCCCCGCCATCAGCACATAGCTGTGTTCCGTGGATGGCGCTCACAGTCTGTGGGGCCACAGTCCCCTCCCCTAGATGCCTAATTGACAGCGGCACCTGCAGGTTTACCGACATAGACAGAGCCAGAGTCCACCCAGCACCATCCAACAGAAATAGGACATAGCAAGCTGTTTGCTTGTCCAACTTGCACAGAGCCACGGGTTCGAACCCCAGCATCGCATAAGCCTGGCATGGTAGCACACACCTGTAATCCCTGCATCTCGGAAGTGGAGGCAGGAAGTTCAAAGGGCATCCTAGGGTAGTGGTTCTCAACCTGTGGGTCTTGCCCTTTTAGGAGTGGAATAACTTTCACAGGGGTCGCTTAAAGCCATCGGAAAACACAGATCCGTATATTATGATTCATAGTAGCAAAATTACAGTTACGAGGTAGCAAGAAAAATAATTTTATGATTGGGGGTGACAACAGCATGAAGAACTGTGTAAAAGGTCACAGCATTAGGAAGGCTGAGGATCACCGCTCCCGGGCTTGATGGAAATATTTTCAAGTCTAGCCTGGGCTACCTTAGACCCTGTAAGTCTGGTGTGGTAGTGCACACCTGGAATCCCAACATGCAGGAGGCTAAGGTCAGAGCACCCGGGTTTGAGGCCAGCCTGGGCTACAGCACACCTATGAACAAACCCAAATGCAATTAATGCTCAGTGGATTTTACCTAAGTATCTAAAGGATTAATTTTTTAAAAATTTATCACATCTAGGTATTTATTCATTATGTGTTCAGGGGGGGAGGTGCTGCGCATGTGTGGGAATCAGAGCCCCCACCTTGTGATGTCACCCCCCACAATGTGAGAGTCAAGGCTTGACCAGGGTCATCGGGCCTGGTGGCAGTGGCAGGCACCCACTGGGCCATCTTGCCCGCCCGAGATTATCATTTTGGCATATAATTGATTTCTCAGTCTTTTTTTTTTTTCTTTTCGAGACAAGGTCTCTCTGTGTAGCCCTGGCTGTCCTGGAACTCGCTCTGTAGACCAGGCTGGCCTCGAACTCAGAAACCCACCTGCCTCTGCCTCCCAAGTGCTGGGATTAAAGGCGTGCGCCACCACCGCCCGGCTGATTTCTCAGTCTTGATGAGACCTTTTATATTCATCTTGCCAGAATAAATCTTCAAGTTTGTGTGTCTCAGACCAGCTGTCCCTGAAGCTATGAGAGTCTGTGTGGATGGTGGTTACCGTATTGTTGTATAGGGGTTAAGCTCCTATGTCGTCTATACTGCCCCATCCAGCACACACGCATGCACGCACGCACACGTCTGTCTTACCAACTTTACCTTAATATTTACTTTAATGTTGCCTTCTAGTAGCTTCCGTGCTTGCTCCCCTAGGCGTGAACTTTCCCCCTAATCCATGGCCTCTGCTCTGCTGTCCCACACCTGGTCTACGCCAAGCTCGGCAACACTGTCAACACAATCTTACTTTTCAGAGAGTCAGTTGAGATAGGATCTCTCAATGTAGCCCAGGCTGCCCTCAAATTCATAGTCCTCCTGCCTCTGCCTCCCAAGTGCTGGGATCGGTGCCTAGCTCCAGTACAAGCTCTCGAGTACATGCCTTCCTTCCCATCACTGCCTACCCTGGGCTCTCTTCTCAGAGCCATGAACGTGCTCCTGTGTGTTTGGAGTGTCCAGAAAAGCCTTTGCTCACGTGACACACAAGACAAGCCAGGGCCTATTGCAGGAAACTCCAATTAAAGAAGGAAGCTGAGAAGTCCCCATCGTGTCCCCGACTAAGGAAGCCCAGACCTAACCATCATGGGCTGATCCCCAAAGCTGCCAAGCTGCCTCCTGCTCAGGAGAGGTCCCCTCAGGCCTTGCCCAGACCTCAGCCTCATGTCCATTCTCTCCAGATCCACCTGAAGTGTCCATCTCTGGCTATAACGAGAGCTGGCACATTGGCCTCACCAACGTGTTCCTGACCTGTGAAGCTCGCAGCAAACTAGCGCCCCACAGCTATGAATGGAACACGTGAGTGATGGGGACCTGGAACTGCGTCTGTGGGAGGGGAGCTGGGATCAGGACCCAGAGGTCTGAGAGAGAAGGCCGAATACAGGAGCAACTAAAGTAGAATTGGGCATGGTGGCACACACCTCTAATCCCAGCATGTGGGAAGCAGGAGCAGACAGAACTCTGAAGTGGAGGCTAGCCTGGTCTGCAGAGTGAGTTCCAGGACAGCCAGGGCTACACTGCCACTCCCCCCTCCAAATCAAAATTGACAGAATCATAGTCCTAGTAAAATTTTAATCTTGTGACTGTGACTGGGGTTTTCAGGGTGGTTATATTCTGGCCATGGCCACACCAGCTGTCCAGGGATTTTTTTTTTCCCCTTCACACTCCTCGGGAATCCCCTTCTCTGTGCAGGTCACAAAGAGCTGGGACAAGGGTTTAAGTTCTTAGGTGAGTCACCCAGGGTAGAAGCAAGTCAAAGATGTCTGCCTTCATCCAGATCCATTTGATTCCTGCCTGCCTGCCCCCTCTGCTCCTGAACCACTAATCATTCTAGTGCACAGATCAGAAAGTTACCTCAGAGTTGTCAGAAGTTCCAAATGCCTCTGGACGTGTTACGATTATATGGAAGGGAAAGGGAGACGGCTCAGTTGGGAAAGTGCTTGCTGTACAAACAAGAGAGCCTGAGGCTGATCCCCACGACCCACATAGATAAAGACCTCATCTCAAAGAGAAAAGGAAAAAAAGAAACCAGGATGATTTTCTTTTCCAGAGAAGGCTAGAATCCAGAGCCTCATAAACACTAGAAAAATACATTGTCACTGAGCCACGCCCCCAGCCCCTCACTGGGGGATTCTAGGCAGGGGCTCTACCGTTGAGCCACGCCCCAGCCTCTCATTGGGGGATTCTAGGCAAGCTCTCTGGCACCTGCCCATTGTGTAAATAATTCAACATAATATTTATTAGGCGTCTTTCTTTATTTCAAAAATACTTTGGATGAACCATTCTAGAACTTTCAAACAGACTCATTAGTGCATGCACTCAAGCATACCCTCTCACCTCCTGAAAGCCTTTGATTAGTCACACACACATGCACACAGACACACAGACACACACACACACACACACACACACACACCCACCCCACCCCTTCCTATTTTCCTATTTTTCTGGTCCCCGACAGTAATCTTGTCCGGGGCAGTTTGCACATCTTCTCTCCCACCTTGTAAACTATCAAAGCTCATGGTTTCACAACCCTGTTTTCTCCAATGTCTTGTTAGGGAAATTTCCAAATATTCACAGTCATAGGAATTTTCCAAATGAATGCTCAAAAGAAAACAAAAATCTAAGCTGAAGATTTTATGACTGATATTTCACTGCCTCTAATTTGGAGTTTTAAAAAAATTATTATATTTATTCATTTATTTTGTGGGGAGCCAAGGTCACCGTGTACATCTGGAGGTCAGAAGGCAGGAATCCGTTTTCTCCTTCCACCACCCGTGTCCTGGGGTTGGAACTTGGATCGCCAGGCTCGGTGGCAAGCATTTTCCACCTGTCGAGTCATCTTACCGGCCCCATGTTTGGCTTTTTGAGACCGTTTCCTTCCGTAGACCTCAGCACGGCTGACCTAGCACTGCTGCAATCCTGCCTCGGGTTCTTGTTCTGGTACTGCAGCCCGTGAACTGACGAGCCTGTGGCCTCAGCCTCCTGCCTCCTAGGATTCCTGGGGCCTGCACTAAACCCTGCCCATATTTTCATGTTGTAAGATCCTACGCTCTATCATCAGTTACTTAACCAGTCCTGTATTGCAGGATAAGGCGATCATTTTTCTATTTTAGCTGTGCAACCGTGCTGTGTCATGACGGTTGGTGGCCGCACCACACGGCCAGCTTTTAGTGCAAGGAAATGACATCAACATATGGCACCTAAGGACTGGGAGCCTGACTCAGTGGGGTAGAGCACCTCTGAGTCATTTCAGTACTCAGAACTCCACACTTGTTCCCTTCCTGCTGGGATGCCTTCTGATGGCTTGCGCCCATCCTCCAACCCAGCTTGGTGCGTAAGGTTGGCCAAAGTCTCTCTCTGTGTTTCTGAGCTTTCTGCCCCACCGAGCAAGAGAAAAGTTGTAAAGAATTTCTGGGATAGATAAAACAGGGGTTGAGGGATAGAGAAGGAGGGCAGCTCTTCGGTGGGACGGGATCTTGCCGCCAAGGCTGTACCTGAGAGCAGAAGCCTGGAGGAGGCCAGGCAGAGCTCAGCACCGGAGGAAGGGCATTGTGGGTAGAGAGAATGGCATTTGCAGATGCTTTTCTGCCACCATCAACCCTTGCTTCTGCAAAGGTCTAAGTGAGGTGTTGGTGCATGGAGCCCAGGGCCCTGAGAGCCCTGGAAATGGTTCTGTGTCCGTGTGCCCTCTGGTGGCCGTATGAGGGAACAGCCGGAGGCGAGGACTTTGAACCCAAAGCCAGGCCAGTATGTGGCCAGCGCAGGCCAGTGTCCCTGCCATACCATTTGTTCCTATCACAGAGGCCATCTGCTCACTATACTGTCTTCCCCAGGACCACGGGGAAATTACCCGACACTGCAAAGCCTCAGGACGAGGGCAAACGACTTCTAATCTCCACCTTGGTTGGTCTCAATAACACGATCTTTGTGTGCAAAGCCACCAATGCCCTAGGGTCTGGGCAGGGCCAACAATACATCCTCGTTCAAGGTGAGTGGTCCTCAGACAAGGAGGGGAGGCACAGAAAGGTGACCCTTATCAGTGGGATCTGAGTGGGGTGATAAGTCATAGGTGGCAGACTTCACCAGCCCAGGCTGGCGCGGGTGTGGGAAACCTTTGACCAAGGAATGTGATAAGAAGCCTTCCGTAAGTGTTTGTCTTTCTTCTCAGCCCCAAACTCCTGGAAATAACGACTCTGAGACTCAAATGTATTTACATATAACTAAGCCATATAGCTAGGCATGTTTGCTGGTTTATAATTTAATAATCCCATTATTCTAGTCTAAATTCTGCCACGTGGCTGTTTGCCTGGTCCTTAGTTACGTACGGCCATCTTTCTCTGTCTGGGGCCCAGTCCTCCCACACTTGACTGGCTCTCTCCCTGCAGGATGTCCCACCTCCTATTTCCCACTTCAGCTCATTGGCCGTCAGCTTGTTTATTGACAGGGGCTGCTTATAAGAGATTCTCTCTACAGAGGGACTCAGAAATCTCTTTCCAAAGGTATTGGACATACCAAGCAAAGAAAGCCTGAAAGGGGAGAGTAGGAGGCACAGTGGTGGCTCAGCGGATAAAGGGGCTTGCTGCCAAGCCCAACGATCTGAGTTCAAACCCTGGCACCTTCGGTGGAAGGAGAGACCCAACTTGCACAAGTTGTCTTCCAACCTCCACTTACCTAACATGGCAAGGCACATGTGCACACATCTGCAAACACATGTGCATGAATAACTGTAGTTCTTACTTGGAAAAATAACTGGTTGAAAGTACAGCTTCGGGTGTGGTTGGATCCAGGGCTGGTCCAGGAATTTTCTTTAGATCTTCTATCTCTGAAGCCAGGTGTAGGGGTACACGCTTCCCAACACCTCGGAGGGCTGAAGCAGAAGGTTCAAAAGCCTGAATGGCCAGGGCCAAGGATGGGGTTTATTTGGTAGAGTGCTTGTTTAGCAGGCATGAGGCCCTGGTTCAAACCCTAACATGTTATCTCCGGGGTGCTGTGATACACGCCTGTAATCATAGTGTTTGGGAGACAGACAGGGAGGAGAAATGGGTGTTCTGGATTATCCTTGGCTACATAAGAAGTTTGTGGTCAGCCTGGGCTACATGAGCCCATATCTCAAAACCAAAAACTAAAACAAACAGTCCCACTGTAATAACCAGAAAATGTGGTCAAGACCTGGACACTGTAGACTGAGGGAGACGGGATTCCCCACAGGGAATTTGGGGCGCTGTTTCAAAGATGCAGGGGTGATGTGAAAGCTGGGTAACTTTCCTCGCCTGTTTGCTCGTTTTCCAGAGGCACCTGAGAAGAGCTTAGGCACAGGCTACATCATTCTCATCGTCCTTGTTGTCCTCGTCCCCGGGATCGTACTCATTGCAGTCTGCGTATGCAAGCGTCGTAAGTCTTTTCCACCTTAGTACATTCTTCCATCTTCCTGCCAGAGCCACTGAGAAGGAGTCCCCACGGAGTCCCCACGCTGCAGCCTTGGTCGGAAGCATCCACAGGCATGCGTCCACAGTACAACCAGGGAGTCTTAGTGTTTCCTATTTGGTTTGGAAGTACTGGAGATGGAATGTTGGGCTTTGTGTATGTTAGGTAGGGGCTCTACCACTGAGCCACGCCCCCAGCCCCTCACTAGGGGATTCTAGGCAGGGGCTCTACCACTGAGCCACGCCCCCAGCCCCTCACTGGGGGATTCTAGACAGGGGCTCTACCACTGAGCCACGCCCCCAGCCCCTCACTGGGTGATTCTAGGCAGGGACTCTACCACTGAGCCACGCCCCCAGCCCCTCACTGGGGGATTACAGGCAGGGGCTCTACCACTGAGCCACGCCCCCAGCCTCTCACTTTCCACAGACCAACTCGGTGTAAGCACTATCTCTGAATGCCACTGTAGTCTGCACACGGGCCTGTGCTGTGTGGAGGAAGGGATGTGTGCTATAACTGACCAACCGGTCTGCTGCAGCCACACAGGTACAGAGTGACCAGTTGGTCATCGAAGGCCGTCTTTTGTGACTGACTTTTTTCTCAAACATGAAATAAACCTGTCCCCACCCTATCCCCAGTCACCTGGGGTCTGCCTCCTCCTGTGTGGAATCCTTTCTGACCTCTCACAGGACAGGTCAAGTCTCTCCCAGACCAGCCTTGCTCAGTTCCTGTGGTCACTATTTGGGTCGTGTGCGTCTCTTCTGGAGGACTGTGAGCACAGAGAGCTTGGCAGGAACTGTCAGGGTCAGGGGTATCCTCAGCTACATAGGTCAGCTTGGGCTACATGAGACCTTGCCTCAAAAAAACAAAACATGCCAGGCAGTGGTGGTGCATACCTTTAGTCTCAACACTTGGGGAGGCAGAGACAGTCGGATCCCTGTGAGCTCAAGGCTAGCCTGGTCTACAGAGTGAGTTCTAGGACAGCTAAAATCTACACAGTGAAACCCTGTCTTGAAGAGAAAAAAAAATAAGTAAAAAGGGGAGAGGCAGGAGGAGAAAATGAATCTATCAGGGTCCCAATGATTTCTGCAAGGTCCCACATCAGTGACCAACCTTCCCCCGGCTAGGCTCTGCCCCTTACAGTTGAATGGCATCCTGACAACTTGCATTGAATCTTGACTTCTAATGCATGATTCACAAGAGTCATATTCTGGGGCATGGTGACACAGGTCTCTGTCACCCCAGCGCTTGGGAGACAGAGATGGGAAGATTGTGAGTTAGAAGCCAGCCTGGGCTACATGTCAGGGCAGCCTGGGCTACATGTCAGGGCCTTTTCCTCCAAGACAAAGCTAAACTATAGCCCCCGCTGTAGTGGTTATGTCCCCGGGGGAGGAGTGGCTTCGTCTCCGTGGACTGACATGCTAGTGCAGATATCATGGTTAGCACATAGCCCTTGCTGCCTGGGAAGCCACATGCTGGGCACACGCTAGCTACCATCAGTATTGACTTTAATAATGATTATCATCACTGTTAAAGCTCCAGAAAGGTGGGGGTGTCTGTCTCTTGTTTCAGCTGCATCCCCAATGTCTTCTTGTGTCTTGTC